GCTGAATAGCTTGCTTGCTTTGCCTTTGTACAGAACAGACTGTGCTGCTCCTGGCTTGTCTCTTGTGTGAACCTTTCTGCTCTCCTATCCTCACCTACTATATTTTACTTAGAAATTCTTTCTTCTGTCTTCTGCTTTCATGCTTTGTGTGCTAAGTTCCAGATCCAAGTTTAATGCATCTTTCTAACTCTCAGCTACTGGCTTTTTCATCACCTGTTTGGTTCCAGCTCTGTGTGCCTGCCTCTCCCCTCCTGAGTTATCATGAGGGAGGTTCTGCTGCAGTTAATTCTGTGTGTATCATCATTTGCAGTGACCTCCGGCTGCTTCTCATCTCTGCTTCTTCATCCTCCTTATATTGTTCATTTACATCTTGAATGCTTCTCTGACCATTTTTAATTTTCCTAACCATCCTTTTCTTCTGAATTCTAAATAAAACATCTGATCATTTTCCTGGCGGTCTTCAAATCACTTTGTTTTTTCTTCCCTGCTACAAAACCTCCCTCTGTTTCAAAGGAGTTGGCTTTGTGGTTTCCTCTGCCTACAACTGCCTTTGCAATGATTGCTCTCTTTCTCTGCCTTACCAGCAGACTCCCCACTCCTTTCCCAGCCTGTGGGTGATGTGTTGTTACTCAGCGCCTTTGCTGTTTCTCTTGGCCACAGGAAGTTTGGCGCTTGCTGACAGAGAGGGCCAAGTAGGATGGTGCCCAGCACTGTGTTACTTTCTGAGTACGGCTGCCCATGAGAAAGCTGGAGACCACTTCTGTGTATTTGCTCCCTTCAGCCGTGGTCTCTTTTGCTGTTGTTGCTGTGTTGGCTGCTAATCCACCTCACACTCACTCTCACTTTGATTTCTGCTGCAGTATAAAGGGACAAACTGATGGCAGGTGTCACTTTTTTTCCTGCTTAGTCTTCCAGTGCCAGTTTTTTAGGATAGACTAGATTGAAAATACATACAAACAGCAATCATAAGTGAAAATAACTGATACAGGTATTTTTTAGGAAGATTTTAAAATAAAAGCTAAAATCTCTAGCAGCTGAGGTTTTTAAATTAAACTGGCTGGCTTTGCACTGAAGCTGTTGAGACACATTTCTGTGATTTTTGTACTACTGGCTCTGCTGTGGACTTGTTTTAGGATAGTCTTAGACCATAACCAGTCAAACTCAGTGCCCACATCAGCTGTTTGATGGTCCCCAATTTTATTTGGTGCATTGCCAAGTAAAATGTCCTTTGTCTTAAAGACAGGGTCAGAATTTACTATTCCAGGAAAGGTTTTTCATAAAAAAAACCAACAAACCCAAAAACCTCCGAATTCCTCATCCCCACAAAAAAACCCCAATTCTTAGATCATTCTGTTAATCAGAATACTTAAGTAATAAATGACTGTGTACTGGGACCATAAAGAGAAGTTTTCAGCAGCAATGACTCTGCTTTTGTGCAGCTTTGGATATCTGAGACCCTTTACAGCTAAATAAAGGCTAAAAAAAATTCACCACAGATTCCCCTTAACTCATGGCTAAAAAGAAACTACGTAAATGTAGCAGCCTAAAAGGCTTATCTTATCAAAAGCTAAAAAGTTCCCAAATCTACCATCTATTCTTTACGAAAGGTTCCTAGTTATCATAGTATTAAACATGTTCGCCATCACCCTAAACATGGGGGTTTGGTGACATGCTAAATGTGACCTGAAAGCTGTCAGTAGGACATCAAAATATCTACAACTGCTTGCAAACTCCTGTCAGTTCAAACTGGCTCAGAAAATGGATTGACCCTTTGTGGTGACTAGGCTATCGTCTGTCTTTCCACAACCGCTGTAAAAATTGATTAAACTGCATTGTCTGCTTAGGCTGATTTAGTGGAGAGATAATTGTGAGCTCATGGTCACTCTGTGCCAGATTTATGCTGGTAGGTGATCAAAAAAGACACCAGTTTTGTATTAATGTTCATGGAATAAAGATTTCAATATAAATCTTGTTGGTTACATTTTGAAAGTATTCATTTTTTTGTCTAGTCTGGTGGTGAAAAATTTCAGACCTGCATTAGTTTGCACATCTGTTATTGCAACTTCATTATACTGTCATCAACATGTAGCTCCTCTTTTTAGGGAATGTAGACCAGACTGATGCTAGAAAAATGTATTTGTTGGAAAACGATATTATGACACTTGATTTTAAGAGCCATGTAGCTCTGATGATGGTCATACTTCTTCTCTATTTCAAATATTTTTTATATCCTACCCATAGAGCTGCTGCTTCTCTGTTCTATTCCTGTCGTGCTGTGAATTTCTGAGCTGTTTTGTAATTACCATATGTTTTCATGGAACTACATCAACACAAAACAATTTTATAGAAAGAAATACAAAATGGATATACTGTGCCAGCGATAATAACAGAGTTCATGTTGTGTAGAATGTGTTGAGGTTTTTCCAAATTAACTATTTTTTTTTTCCCCGCTTCAACAGAAATTGCCCAAGTTATTGCCTCTTACACAGCAACGGGTCCAGAACAGCTTACTCTTGCTCCTGGTCAGTTGATTCTTATCAGAAAGAAGAATCCAGGTGGCTGGTGGGAAGGAGAGCTCCAAGTTAGTTACTGTTTTTCTGAAATAAAATACCATGTAAAAAAAATTGTGATTTATTTTTTTTTAATAGTTGAAGATGATGAATGCATCAGTGGTAAATAGTCTTGAAAATGTTCTGCAATTAAGCATTTCCAAGTAAAATGCCTTTACAACAATACACATACATTCCAATTCCTTGAACTTGAAATAACTTGGAAGGACAGCAAGAGGAAGCCATTGTGTCCCATTGAAAATCAAGGACACCCATCTCACAGATCAGACCCAGCCTGCACTCCACTCCCATGTACATTTTCCTGGAGGGCCTTCAGATATAAGAAAGGAGTGGATTTTAGGGTGCATTATTTTGGCTGCTTTTGAATCCTCCCAGTCTCACGCCCAGTAGTCTTCATGTGAGCAAAAAAAGCAGTTGTCACGTCAGGTGGTGGGGAGCGCCAGCCGTGCAACAGGGGTGCATGGGACTGTTGGGTCAGGTGGCAGGGTCTGCTTGTGTGTCCCATTCCCACAGTGTCCGTGCATATCACATGCATTTGGATCAGCTGATGCATGTGAGCACTGTGAAGATGGAAGACATACTGGGGTGTGCAGTGCTGAATGTCTTCCTAAGAAGCTTTCTGAATTGCTTCAGCCAGAGGTTTGGCTATCCATTTTGTTGAATGATTGGGAAGTATTTGGATTTTCTAAGACGGCCGCCACTTTTTCAGGTTGTTTGGTGAACGTGACAGTGTAGAATGTCAGCCTGATTGCCCCATCTCAGCAACTGCTCGATTTGATGTAGAAGAGTGAGCAGAATGATGTCTGTTGGAAGCGTCAGAAGAGAGCTTTAGTGTTGTACTAGAAGATAATAAAATATTTTAAACAGTTGGGGTTTTTTTAAGATTAGAATTTGACAGTTTGGAAGCTTTGATTCTCCGTGACTTTCAGTGGCAAATTTGTTTTTTTTAACAGGGAATATTACATGAAAGTATGTAATGGATTGATTTTTGCATTGCAGATGCTTAGACTAACTCAGATATTTTTTCCACATTACTACCTGCCTTTTTTGCCTTTCCTGGTGATATTTTTGTCATCTTTTGCGGAGAAACCATCTGCCAGGATTACTTTGGTTTTCATTCGCACTAACATTTATGTTGTTGTTAACTTGTAGCTTTAAAGAGTCTCACATTAAATGTATTTTGAGCTAGAAAATAAGCTTCACTGGGCAAGACCTGTCACAATTACTACTTAGCAACTAACGGGAGGTTTTTTAAAAATGAATTTTTGGTTATTTAAATACTCATATGTAGCTTTGGATAACTTTCTCTGGTTTTCTTCATTACCAGTCCCCTACATATTCTTTTCATTCTCCTGTTCCAAAACCATAATAGTAGTTCTTGCTCCTTTGCTATGTGAATACCAAGGCTAATGGAGCAGAATGCTGAAATGGATTGAGGAAGTGGTTGATAATAAAAGCAGCAACCTCCTCCCCAAAGTAGTGAAATGATGATGAGACTTGGAGCAGAGCACTAACATTAGCTTTTCTTTATGCATTTGATTTCAAAGTGGCAGATTTTGTAGAAGTATATGTACAGTTCAGTTTCAGCCTCAAGTAAATTTTGATTATTCTTGTCCTAGGGGTCAGAGTGAAGGTGAAATAAGGCAAATGTGTTAAACATTACATTGCCAGGTTTAATGCAGTCTTGCAGAATATCTTAAAATAAATGATCTAGGTACAATGTAGATCAAGTACTTTCCTTTTAAGTAAAGAAAAAGACAGGGAAGGGAGTTGTTTAAAGAATAGTATATGTGTTAGATTACTTTTTTTTTCACTAAAACTAACAGCTATTTTGTTTTTAAAGGTGAATTTCTACATTCCCAAAATGGCAACCCTATTCTAAGAACAGAAAAAGGGAATAAATAGTTAAAAGTAATTCTTAACATAGATTTAATAGATTCTGATAGACTTAGAAGCTGGGATTTGATTCAAAGTTATAGAATAACCTTTCTTGCAGTAAGGATTTTTCTTCTGATTTTATTTGCAATGAACCATGCAGTTGGCAAAATAACTTTGCAGTTTCTGTCAAATTCCTGTCCTGCTTTGATGTCACCAGCTTTGTTAGACTGGATTGGACCTGCAGTTGGTTTGCTCCAATTTCCTGTTTCTGCCAGAGACTCACTGCAGCTGCATTACAAAGCATAGAGCTGCTGCAGGCCAGGTGTGTGGTGACCTGCTGCTCTACCAGCACACACACAGGGACCACACGCACACTAATACATGTGTGCACCATGTGTTCGCACTGATGCTCTCTGATTAGGTAGGTGTGAGAACATGTAGCATGCTTTCCAAAACCTTAACGTCTGGTAATTAGGATCATTTGGACAGTGTTTATCCATGGGTATTTGTGGTTGCAAAGCTTCATTTTTGGTTGAGTGGAATCTGGCTTTGGGATTCAGTATTTGAATCCAAACTTTACCCATTTTTTTCTTGGCATCATATTTTACTGTTCTTCTAGTACTTGATTAATGTGACGTGTGTTTATACTCCCTCTGTTTTTTGGGCAGGAGAGATTATTAAAAAGTTTAGATACTATTTCTTTAAAAGAAAAGAGGTAATTGGGATTCTTAATCTCTACTTACACTATTACAATCTAGGTATCTTTTTAAGTGCAATTCTTTGCATAATGAAAAAGCATTTAAATATCGCTACTCATTAATGCAATAGCTAGCCTAATATTCTAGATTTGTGGTTTAAACAGAATCAGGAGAAATCTTTCAGAAGGATCAGGGTTGTAGTGTTAATTATAAAGCACACAAAGTAGGAACACTGATAAGTGAAAAATCACGTGAGTAGTAAATAACTACTGTTTAGATACTATGAACTACTGTTTATATATTTAAAAAACTGACTTCATGTAGTGGAAGTATCTTAATATTGAACTATTGCCACAAGAAATAGCTGACTTCCTTATAAAATGCATTTTACTTATTCTAAAATAGTCAGTGTGACTGCATATAGTTAAAATATTGGCTGAATTACCTTGTCTATGGATCTATTGATGCGCTTAATCCTCTTATAAGAGTTGTTTTTTTACTAGGCACGAGGGAAGAAACGGCAGATAGGATGGTTCCCTGCTAATTATGTAAAACTTTTGAGCCCTGGTACCAGTAAAACTACACCAACCGAGCTACCTAAATCAACAACATTACCTTCAGGTAAGCGATGTGGTTGCATTAACAAAATTGCTTTTGTAATGTGTGTCATTTACAATAGCATTCTAAGAATATTTATGGATGTTCAGTGGGGTATTTAGTATCTGTTATGCTAGTCACTTTGCTTAAACTCTTAATTTTATTTTTTTTCTTTTAAATGAGGAAAACATACAGTTGGTCTGTATATTTATGGTGGTGGTCCCTCAGGTATGAACTGTTGAGTGCTAAGAAACCATCTGTGATATTACTGCTTAAAAAATAAAACTTTCAAATTATCAGTCGTATTTGTTTGCACTAATTGCAGTAAAGGAGTTTTTGAAGGTTCAGGGTTGTCCACAGGCTTAGCAGTTGAGGCACCTCTCATTCAGAATCTTTTATTTTTCCTAAGGTGAAGTGTGAGAAAACCACTCAAATGAAGATGTAGCTTTTTATCCCGTATATATACTTACTTTAAGGTTTATGAAAGGGTACAAGAGCGATAGACCATTGTATTTTTAAAGCTGTTACAGCTCCACCACAGGTCATGTCAAACAGTCCTGTGAGTCTCCTTCAAGGTATAAAGCCAGGCAGAAGACTGAGAACAAAAAGTTGATTCCTTGCCATGTTTCAGTCTTGAACCATTTTGCACTTATGAGTTGCTGTAGTACTAAGTAAATGGAATTCTTGTCAATCAAAAACATACAGAATGGATGTGTGTGCTTCCATAAGCCACCCAAAAGACTTGATATGGTTGGCTGTTATCTGTTTGGATTTAGTTGGGGGTAGCAGGGGGCAGAAGCATGCTGCTTCCCCAGGACGTTTTTTGACAGTCTGTCATTATAATGAAATAAATGTTTCTAAATGAAAAATGATAGTGAGCATAATTTTCTCCTTTAAATATGTATGAAGCATTATAAAGTGATTTATGGAACGAGAATTAAATACTGAAGTATTAATTTCATGTGCCATTGATATAAATCAAAGTACCATATCAGAGAAGGTAAATGTTATAAATGGTGCAAATTGGCTTCTTTGACAGTGATCATAAAGATACAGAGAATCAGACTACTATAAAGACTCATGAGTTTGAGTCCTGCAGTTAAAAAGGTAACTCGGCATTGAAACACATACTTTTGCAAGGCAATATGCTGGGATTCTATTTGTTTAAAAAATTATTTCAGGTTTGGCGGTCTGGGACTTCTCACACAAGCTAATAGAACTTCTACAGAATAAACTTTTTAGCACTTTTTTCATTGCTTACAGAACATCAAATTCTTAACGACATTAATTTTTATCAAATTCAGCTTTGTTATAGGCCTTTCAGTTTTGGAGGATGAGAAGAAGAATCTTGTCTTTCCATTATGACAGATGGCCTCACTAACTGTGTGGTTAATGTAAGAGGTTAAAGCATCTTCATAGGGAAAGTATATTAGTGGGTAGGCTTACTGTAGCAAAAGACATAGAAAGTCTGCAGAAAACCATCTACAAGGGTTGAATAATGCCCAAGGTGGTGCTTTATGAAGGGTTGAGAGTGTGCCATTACTGTCTGGGTTTTGAAGGTAGGGGATCCATCAGAAACTGGTATGATCAAAACCTCTGATTCTTTTGTCATTTCATTTTGATGTGTATGCTCTCCATCTGCCGTACTGTAAAGCAAACTGCATGACTTTACAACATTTTTAAAAATTATTATTCTGCTGCATGGACACTTTTGCTTTATACTTTGAGGTTTTCTTAATTTCTGACTGCTTTGTGTGTGTTCCCTCATAAACTTGGGTCATGAACATGTCCTTCCTGGTGTTGAGAAATGAAAACAACTGTTACTGCTACTTGGTGTTAGTCAGGCATAAGGAAGTTCACAATATTGGAATAGTGGGAAATGTGTTTCAACCATTCTGCTTGTAAGGGAAGACAACATTATAGGTTGGACTGATTGTGAGTATTGTATGAGAACCTGGATTCCCTCTGCTGTTGCAGTAAGACTAGTGCTGTTCAATAGACAAATATTTCTAAAAAAGGAAACAAATGGCTGAAAAGCAGTGGAGCTCAGAGAAGGTAGGCTATAGCTTGCTTCTGTAGTTAGCAATGGCTTTTGGAGTTTAAAGAAAGTAAAGAACTTTCTTGTTTAGACTTCTATAAGAGCTTCTTATGTAGGACTAAGGTGTATTCTAAGCTTTGTGACCAAGTATAAATAAGATCAGGATGAGGTCATTGCTTCAGGTTCAATTGAGGAGCTCTGTCTATTAAAAAATTCTCTTAAATTAGCTCCCCAAGTTTAAAGTGATTGTTGGGATCCCATTGGACTATTTGGAAATTCTGATTATACTACTGGACAGCACCAAATTTCATAAAATGCTTAAAAATAGAAGAGAATGATCTGAATTAAAAATACTTGAAAGAAATTTAATCTAGAATGGGTTACAAATCTATTAATGTACGTATTGTGTTCAGATATGGTCTAGCTTAAATTTTTTATCATTCCTAATGTTAGTAACCTGTAAACCTGTAGCAAGAATGCTGTAACATAGATTCACAGGTCTTTAAAGTGAAATGTGAGCATCAGCAGTGTTCACACAATTGAACTTGTGCTAGCACAAGATTACCTAAGACAGGAGTACACTGTAATATGCACATACTCTACATTCCTTTAGATATATGGGTTTATCTCCAGTATGCTGCGGATGTGTACACTTTGGTTAGTTGATGTGTTAGGTGTGACAAATGACAGGGAGTGCCCCTTTTAAATCTACTTTTTTCTTTGTGTTTTTTTTCCTCTTTTGCAAGTAACAAAGCTTAAATATTAAGACATGTGTAGAGTCCTGTTAAATGTGGAGTTTATTTGATGTATTAGCTAAAAGAAGTTGATTAATTTCTGAAATATAAATTAAAAAAAGAAAGAGAGGAGCCCTTTGACAAATTTAAATAAGTTGCTGGCTGAGTACAAGAATGAAGATAAAAGAAAAAATTAGGATTAATATAATGGAGAGAACCTGACAGCAAGGCTAATTAGACAGAAGTTTTGTGTCTCAAGGCAAAATACTAGAATCCCTGTGACTTGGCATAGAGAAAACATCAGGGAAATAGAGGAAATTATGCATTTAAATAAACACTCCTGCTGCTTTAAAGAATTAATAAAATTGCTCTATTATAATTGATCAGAAATGGCTGTGTTCTGAGAACCAGTCAGATTTGATGAATTTCACAGTAAGGGAATAGAAAATAGGCTTCTGGAAACAATCCAGTGGTGCCAGAAGGGCAACTGAAATGGCTTAGGATGCTTTTTGTTTTTCTCATCCGTTCCAAGATCTTTGTGTTCCTAATGTCTCAGTGGTAGTACAAGGATATCACCATTGGCTTTCTCTTGAATTATAGAGCTGTGCTGAGCCTGTCTGGTGCTAACTAGAAAAGCACTTTTTTCAGGCCTCAGCTTGTGGAACTTAAAGTTTCCCAGACTTTTCTGTCCATTGACCAGTCCTGTTGGAAAACAGTTTTCAGAACAGGTTGGTGCAAAATACTTTTTTAATAAATGTGCAACAGAGGAAACTCTGTTTTTTTAAATCACCTTGAGACAATTTGCTAAGGGCTCAGCTAAGCACCAGTACAGGAGCACAGGAGAGAGGGGCAGGAGCGTGGCAGGACCAGTCCAGATCAGGGTAGTGTCTTGTACTGTGACATCCATAGCGTTCATAGTTGCTTTACACGTAGCTCATGTTGTGCTGAAACGTTGCCAGTGCCATAGACCTCTTCCTTTATCTTCCAGTGTGCCAAGTAATTGGCATGTATGACTACACTGCACAGAATGACGATGAGCTAGCGTTCAATAAAGGCCAGATTATAAACGTCCTTAACAAGGAAGACCCAGACTGGTGGAAAGGGGAGGTGAATGGACAAGTGGGTCTCTTTCCATCCAACTATGTGAAGTTGACAACAGACATGGACCCAAGCCAGCAATGTAAGTGACCCTCTCTGCTGCCGTGCTGTGATTATCTGTGTAGTACGTTAAGATGAAACATGCAGCATTGCTGTGATTCTGCTGTGGTTTGCAGAAGTCAAAGCTTTGCCACTGCTGCGCTGGTCAGAGTCTCTTTGAAGACCTTCTATAATGCAAACCTTATTTTATGTTTGTTTTATTTTTAGTTCCCATCCCCTTTGTAGCATGTTACCCTTTATCATTTTTGCACCATGCTGTGTACATGCCTGACTCATTTTCCTAGCTTGAATTTGCTCATTGTTTTGTTTTGCTTATGTGTTGTTTTCCTCCTTTTTCTAGGAATCATATGTTGTCCATCCCCCACTCAGGCTTGAAAGTCCTCAAAGAGACCCACTATCCCATATCACTGCCCAGAGGGATGATGGGAGATGCAGCCTTGATCATGTGGCTTCCAGCATGATCATCTACTGCCTTCTGAGTAGAAGAACACACTGCAGAGCAGTTTACCTCATTTTACATTAGTTGCATGTAATCGCAATGTTTGAGTTAATTACCTACAGATATAGACACAAAATTAAAATGAAACAAAAAAAACACAAAAAATCAGAGGATAGTGGGTCCTTTTGTGGCTTTCATAGTTACCAAACTAATTTTTCCACCTTTGCACAGGTGCTTACAGTAGTTTTAAAATTATTTTTAAATATATATTTTAGCCTTTTAAAGGAAAAGTATAAATTAAATTTCTTCATTGCAATTTTGTTTGTGCAAAAAGACCCACTATCAAGGAATGCTGCATGTGCTATTAAAATTGTTCCAAATGTCCATAAATTTGAGACTTTATGTATCTTTCTTTTTTATTGTTCACTTGTCCAGTGTTGTCAATATGTCTTCCTTTTTTTTTTAACTTTTTTTTTTTTTTAAATTACAAAAGAACAGAAGGAGTTAAATCAGTTTAAGGAACTTTAAATGTGCCCAGTCACAGATAAGGAATTTTTTTGTTATTGTACTGTATGTATCAGATGTTCCTTGTTGAGTGTGTAATACATTGTGGAGAGAAGACATTAACTTCCTTCCAATGCAAGAGATATTCACCTTGCATAATGTTGTTATCCCAGTTACTTTAATTTTACTTTGCACATTACTTGTAGCTGCGTACAGTTAGAAAACACCCTGGTTTGTGTTTGTCTCAGATGTTTCACTTTTTGCATTTTCGTATCAGAAATCAGTAGAATGCTACATACGTGTGGGATTTGAGAACTAACTTCCTTATTTTCATCTTGGTTACATGAAGTTTGATTTCTCATTTTTACTTTCTTATGACTATGGAACAACACGTTTTGAGCAAGTAATTTTCTTGACAAGAAAGAATGTATAGAAATATCTCCCTGCAATTAATTTCCAATGTTTACATTTTTTTAAAATAGACTGTGGAATTTATACAAATTAATATTAAATGGAGCTTACAGTCAAGTTTATGTAGTAGGTGTGCTGTAGCTAAGCCACGTTTGTCTTTCCAGCATTAGTCACGAGCTCTTGATGAAATGCCTGGTGCTGTCAGTGCAGAATTCCTCTTTTCCCAATGCCTCAAGCACAATATAGCCGTTCTACTAATTACTTTACCATTTAGTTATGTTCTGGTTTATGTATTTCATTTATTTCTAAATTTCATGCTGGCAGTGTTGTAGCGTTTCTAATCCTACCCCATCTCCCTCCTTCTGACCCGTCATGCGGTGCAAAGAACAAGTGAAGCTCCTTACTCAATTGCACTTCAGTATTTCATCAATATGAATGTAAATTATATAAATATATAAAACCCTGCAGCTTTAACAACTGTAATACAGCCTTTAAAATTAGTTACATGTGTAGATAATTAAATTCTTCATATAAAAGATAGACTAAAATGTGTTTGTTGTCTTGTTGCTGTGTACACACAGAATTCACCAAGTGGCATTAGTGCATGTAATGAATTTGCCACCGGAATAGCCTGAAGCCCACCTGTTTAATTTCAGAATGACACTTGTCTTGTTCTTTCGAATAGTATTTCAATATAATTACTTAGATTGGTCATGATTATCTGGAACCTTTTGCACCTTTCTTTATTCAATGCTTTCTATGTGTTACAAATCAGTTGATATTTTTTGACTCTATACTGGTAGATGAATTAAGAATACTTAATTGTTTTTTTATGGGTTTACATTGACTTAGGCTCTGTGTTTTATGCCAGAAGCTTTAGTCTTAAAACATGCACAATTGCACAGATTTTCTTTCTTTAAGGATAGTATTAACACGCACAAATTTTTCATTTACCTCTGTGCCATTAAAAAAAAAATAAATTTCTTCTCCACCATAGCCACTTGCTGAAAAATATGCTGCCTGGTATGACATAAATTGAACAGAACTTAGTACTTATAGTTTTCAGTGCCCATTGTTTTGCTTACTGAGAATGATGTAGCCAGATTTTACTCCACTATTTCAATATTATGTGCATTAAAATGTTATTTTAATGAAAGGATATCTCTGTTTTCCCATATTGAGCTTCTGCGTTGAAAGAGTCGTAACTTAAGTAAAAGCATTTGTCCTAAGGGACGTTTTGGGTTTTATGACTTCAGGCCAGAAACGAACTTTCTCTACATATTAAAATATTTGCAATACTTTGGAGATAGAGGATTCAGATGCTGCTTTTTTTTTTTCCATTAATCAAATGAGAAGAAAAATAAAGCTATTATAATAATCTGCAGGCTACATGTTTCCTAACATGCTGCTTAAAAATGCTGAGAGTGATGGCTCATAAAAGATTTTCAAAATCACAGTGCTCTAAAAGTTCTTGGGGTCAGTTTTCCACTGAAGTGAAGAGAGCAGTCTGAAGTTGTCCCTCTGTAGAAACACACACACAGATACAGACACGGGTGTATGTTATGCCAGGATTCCTCATGCAGAAGAGTACTGTGTATTATTCAATAGAGCAACAGCTTTATCAGTCTGTCTGTTGTTGAGAATAGTTAACTCTAAAACCTCAAAACACATTTAAAATGTCCCAGACAAAGATATTCAAACCATTGTGGCTTCTGTTGACATACATTGTTGAAATACCTATGATGTTTATTTACTCAATTATTAAAGTTCTTAAGTGTACTACTATAGCTTGGCATGGTATTGTTTAATCTTGCTCATAATCAGTTATTTCCTTTGAGTAGCAGGGAAAAAGATAGTGCATTTATTCTTTCTTACCTGTCTGGATTTTGGGGTTTTAAATATATATACATATATGTATACACACACACACACACA